TTGGTTAATAAAGGCTATAGCAAAAACCCTGCAAATACATTCCCTTGGCAGGAATCTCACTTTTAAAAGTTTAAAAATGCCAAAAAGGTTTAATATTATGCAACAATTTTACAAAAGACACTAATATTTTACTGTTAAAATATAGCAGATAGATAATTTTATAGGTCCACTATAAGCAACACCAAGCAAATGACAGCACAAGTTCCCAGCATGTATTTGTTGCAATTTCACCTCAGAGCTTTGCCACCTAGAGCCACTGATATGCAAATACCTATGCAATTTGCGTATGTCCTACCATGCAACATTGTCACTGCCTGCTAAAAAATAGTTTTGGCACCCAGGGATTGCCTTGTGGGTTACATGCATGGCTATTCTCAACCAATGGGAAATGAAGTAACCCTGATGTAAGTTTCTGCAGTAGTTGACAAGTGTTTTCAGCTTAGGCCACTTGCACATGGGACCATCCAGCTGAGGTGTTCCTCCTGGCATCTTAGTGCACCCCAGAAGGACAGGTACACCATCCAGCCCCACTTCAGGCAGCCTGCACCTGGACAGGGCTGAAAACTGTACAGAGTGGCTCTGGCATTTAAGATCCTGTGCGTTAAGAGACCAGACCTTGTTCCTGATTGTTCCTGATTGCACACGGCCCTAAACACTTGTACCACTTGGTTTAAATTTTCCCAAGACATCCTTACGCTTCTATCTAGTTAATATCATGGACAATCGTAGAATTGGCATTTACAAACAAGGACATATTAAATGCTAATCAAATGCAACAATTTAAAAATTATGCCTAGAAACCAAAGAAGCTGAAAAACAGGGCAATTTTGCACTGCGGGATTTTTTGTTTTTTTTACCTGAGCTATGTTCCACTTAATGAATAATAGTTTACTTTCTATATTACTCTTTGCAAGGTAAATAAGCAAATCTCAACTACTTTTCAAAGTGTAAGAATGTAATGGTATTCACTAGTTATTTCATAAATAAAACCCTATGCTGCATTAAAAGAAAAGAAAAAAAAAATATCACACTTTAGAACAGCACACATCACTGTTCCCTACACAAAGCAGCTCTGTAGTTGAACAACCAGATTACCTAGACAAAGGCCTCCAAGGTTTCATATTCCTAATCCTATAACTCTAGATCACATGCACCAACATTGACATTTCTGATATAAAAGGTTATACCACCCACTACAATGACTTTCTCAGCATTCTGGGGTTTAAAGAATAAAATGTCATCACAAAACGCTTTGGAGATTGAATTATGCAAAACTTAAAACAGGAATGGAAACAAGGTACACAACTGAGGCACTTGTTTGCCTTAACAAAATTAAAGTATATGGTAGTATTCTATGTTAAAAAATGCCTTACAATATATGTCTGAAACAGGATAGGGTTCCGCTGTAAGCCTGGGTTCACACTGATGCAGTGTGGAATTCGCACTGGTTTCTGTGCGATTTCCGCATTGCATTATAATCGAACTCCGTTCATACGAACCACTGCGGGTGTTTATTTTAAGTTAATGACACCCCGCAATCAGTTCGCAAAACGTGGTGCAATATGCAGAATCGGATCGCATGGGTGTGAACACCCACGCAATTGATTCCGGTGCAGACAAAAAAAAAAAAAAAAAAAAAAAGGGTCCTGCACTTTTTTGGTACGGATGCGGTGCGATTTGAGCCATACAAAATGTCGCAAATTGCACCGCACAGAAATCGCATGTGAACGCATCAGTGTGAACCCAGGCTCATTGCCCGTTCACATATATTGAATTGGATGCGGTTTGAACTGCATGACATGTGAAAAAACATTGCTTCCTATTGTGCCTGTTCACATATGTCTGGTGCACTGGCAGTTTGATTTCAGTGCGGTTTTAAAAAGAGCATTGTCCAATTTCTGAGCAGTGCGGTCTGGTTCAGGTGCGGATAACAGGCTATTGACTTCTATGGGAGCCGTTTCCAAACCTGACATGTGGGAACAGGATAAAATCCTTAACTGATCCAGTCCTGAACCTGATGTAAACCTGACCTGAAACGGTGAACAGCTATTGTATATCAATTAGTTGTGAAACCTGACCTTCAATCAGCAGGGGACATGTGTGAATCAGCTCTAAGAAAAAAAGTTAACTATTGTATTATGTACCTTATACAATAAAAATTACAATATAGTGTTTGTGTGTAATCTATATAATATGGGAGTGATTGATTTACCAGCAATAAATGTTTTGTGTAATTCACCTTTATGGCTTTATTAGTATGACCCTATCTGATGATACAGAAGTGTATGGGGGGACTGGATCAGGTCATGAGCAAGAAAAATTTGTACATTGTAAGAGACTGAATTCTGCACTATTGTTTTTCCTTTAAGTGAACACCAAAAGATAAAAACATTTCTGCAAATTAAAAGATGCTTAAAAAAAAAAAAAAAGTCACCAAGCAATACTATTATTTAATGGCAGTTGTGGACTATATTGTGGGTATCTATGAAATTCGTAAAACTTGGGTTGGGAAAATTACATATTTTTTTCCCCTTTTAGGTAGTTTTTAATAAAAAAAAAAAAAAAAAAAAAAAGAAAATACAGATATGTAACCAAATTTACTACCCAATTAAAACACAATCCAGCCTGAAAAAAAAGGAGTTGGAAATCTATAAGCATAGAAAAAAGATATGAATATTATAAGGAGCAGAACTAAAATTTGTTTGAGAAAAAAAAAAAAAAAAAGAAGAAGAAGGCTCTGGACCTGAATTTAAAGTAGAACTAAAATCTTTTGGACAGTGGCAATGGATTAGAACATCGATTAGATTTTTATTGCTGTCTGTGCCCCCATTAGGGAGATTCAACCTCTCTATTTATCCTGTTTACCATCGAAAGTGACAATAAAGACAACCCTACATTTTGGGTCGTCCTCACAAAAGTAAAAAAAGGAGACATTTTCTGATGGAGACACTAGTTCTGGTGACCTAGGGGTCCCCAAGGAATGTCCTTGATTTGCGGGGGTTATTTTTCACTTCCTGTTTTTGCTATGGGACAGGAAGTGAAGTCAGATCTCTCAAATGGGACACAGATGGGAAAAATATATGCTGACAGGGTTTATAACCATCCCTTACCCCAGGGGTCTCCAAACTGTGGCCTGAGGGCTGGATGTGGCCCTTTGCTAGCCTTTCTCCGGCCCTTGGGGCACTATTCCTCCCACTGACACCAACAATGGGGCACTATTGATAACACTTACGTGGTACTATTCCTCCCATTAATATCTATGACGGGGCATTACTCTTCCTCCTGCTGACCTACCATCCCTGAGACTATGTTTATTCTCACTGATGCTGGCCCCCGAAACATTTTCTACCCCCACTGGCCACACCACACTCCGGCCCACTTAAAGTCTGAAGGACCATAAACCTACCCTTTAACTTGAAAAGTTTGGAGACCCATGACTTAGCCTATCGAAAATGAAGAAAAAAAAAAAGTTTTGTCTTTAGTTCTATTTTAACCTGTTTACCACTGTATGATACGTGATTAAGTGGGCTTTAACAACCTGCTACCACACGTGTTCACAGCGAACTGAGATTGTGTGCCGAGAGCATGCATACTGCACAGTCCCAGCAACACTGACTCGGCTTTGTCCAACAAAGGGATGAGCTCCAGATCATGTGCATGTGATCATTGTGACAACCAACTGCAGCTGTCACATGATTGGGAAGACACTCTGTCCCCCAACATTAAAGCACATTTAAAGGCTTAAACCAATAAGCAGTTAAAAGGAAAGGAAATTCTTTGTGGTGCACCGAAATGAAAATTCTGGTGCCAAAACCGATACTGAACATTCAGAATGCATGTGGCCAAAAACCAAACCGTAAAGGTCTGCGTATATGGGCGTGGGGAGGCTCCAATTTTTTTTCTACTTTCATGTATATATATTTTTTTTTTTAACTTATGATTTTATTGCTATCACATAGTTGACCAATAGTCCTCTATGTGATAGCATATGAGTGACAGGTCCTCTTTGTAGGGGGCAGTGTGTGCAAGGTGGGGGCAGGAGAGGAGCAGTCTATACAGTGAGGGAGCAGGGTATACAGAGAGGCTCCCTCACTGGCTGTCACACTATGTATGTCAGTGTCAGTTTTTAAATTAATTTGCTGGCTTTTTTTTTCTTTTCTCTATAGCTCACAGAATTAGCTGTCACTTTCCCTGGAGTTACAGGAAACTTTGTTTCTTTTATCTGCGGAAAAAAAAAAGCTAAAAGGAAACTTTGTTTCCTTTAACTCTGGGAAAGAAACTAAAAGAAAACTTTGTTTATTTAGCTGGTGGGAAAGTGGCAGCTAATTCTGTGAGCTATAGAGAAGAAAAAAAAAAAAAAGCCGATAATCACATTAAAAAACCAGCACTGACATATAGTGACAGCCAGTCACTGTATACACTGCTCCACTCCTGCCTCTCTCAGCCACCCCCCCTCACATCTGCATTACAGTCTCCTGTATCGGAACCTGTATCGGCTAAATTTTTCCTATTGGCAAAATTCCAATAGGGCTATTTTCGGCCAATATGTTTTTGGTGGCCGACATTTCGGTGCATCCCTAGAAATTTAGTTTGAAAACCCCTTTTGCCAACCCCCCACCCCAGCAGAACTATCCGACCATCCCTCATCCCAGTGGAAACCTATGTAATTTTAATGAACGTGTACAGATATCCATATGTAGAAGCAGTAGGGTGATCTTGGATCTTGGAAAGTATAGATCTTTGAGAGATAAGGCTCATTATGCTCAGGAAGTTGGGGGCAATATGGATTTGAGAGTTTCCTCATACTTTAAGCCAACTAAACACAGGTTAATAATATTTATCAACACAAACATCATGATTTCCATACAAAAAAAGAATCAACATTTTTGCAATAGAGTTTCTACTAATATGCCTTGCTAAACACTTATGCACTCTGGCTTTTTCTTTCATCGTCACACAAATCAATGCAAAAGTAAAAAAAAAAAAAGTCAAAGACATACTTGGATGTAGTGTGGGGACATGCTGTCCAAGCCGGTCATCCTTCAGCATGTGAAGCAGTGTTGTTTTGCCAGCATTGTCCAAACCTAAAAACACTAGTTTCCCAGACTTTTTGTATAACCCTAGAAAACAAAAAATATAGATCAGGAAGGTCCATTGTTAACACAGATCTCTTGTGTCTGTTTAATTGTGCCCAAAAAATTGAATTTACCTAAAAACTGCAGCATACTGCTGAAGCCATTATAAATCCACTCAAATATGAAAGACATTTCTGTATCTGTGTCCTGAAAAAAGAACAAATGAAAACACAATTAATTGGCATTAATGTGCAAGCATATAATTTGTCAAACACTTTACTGTTCCGTGAAATAATAATAATTAAAAAAAGAAAAATGTAACAAGTTTGCCTGAAAATCTTCATCTGTTGGCTACCTGTGAATATTTAGTACTTCCTCACTGCCTTCAATGGAAAATCCTCAACCAAACAAGTAGGAGTATCATGCCTACAGGGATGTGCAATTCATATCGCCCGAGACATGTAGTGCTGGGCAGGTTTTTTTTTTTTTTTACATATAGCCCGGCTGCGGGCAAGCAACAAGGGTTACTTTTTTTGCCCCTGTGCTTCATTTTTCCTCCCCCTCCACCTGACTACAGGCTCAGCTTCTTTCCCTCAGCACGGCTTTTCCCATACAGCCCTCCAATAGCCAATTGTCTGTCAGCCTCCCACACCCCTGCTGCCTATTGGCTGCCAGGTCCCTGTCTATGTTACAGACTTCCCCATTTGACAAGCGGCATGTTTGCAATGACAGGCGGCAGCCGCACACAGCCTCTCAGGAAGTGTAGTTCCTCGGTCTATCTACTGTGGCTATCTTCAGCCCGCAGACGACTACACTTCCCACAGCCGGGGGGAAGGGGGTGCCGGGGTCAACGATCAAGCTGGCCAGATCACAGGTGACAGACTCCCCTCCCTTCTGTCCATTACACAGAAGGATGCTGAGTAATACGAATACCGCCAGCCTGGATGTGTCTGCTAATTCCTGCTTGACCTCCAGAGCCTGGAAGCACCACCACACTACTTCTGGAGCCAGGCCTGTCGTCGTTGTGCCACCTCACGCTACAGGCAGGATGACTGCGCAGCCTACTCACCCTGTGCTCCTGGTGTCCACCCCATGGAGGATGGACACGCAGAGCCAGGAGGATGGACACGCAGAGCCAGGAGGATGGACACGCAGAGCCAGGAGGATGGACACGCAGAGCCAGGAGGATGGACACGCAGAGCCAGGAGGATGGACACGCAGAGCCAGGAGGATGGACACGCAGAGCCAGGAAGATGGACACGCAGAGCAGGAAGATGGACACAGAGCCAGGAAGATGGACACGCAGAGCCAGGAAGATGGACACACGCAGAGCCAGGAAGATGGACACGCAGAGCCAGAGCGTTAATAGAGCCAGATACTCCACTTTCCTGGCGGGCACCCACACTGCAAAGTCTCCCTCCTCCCCGCTAGTCCCTGGGTGTTTTGGTTAAAATGATTTTTTCTTATCAAGACAAGTAGATTGTAATGAAGGACAAGCAGACCCCGATTTGGTCCCATGGATAAGTAGTTTTTTTATTTAATTTCCACACCCCTGATGTCTAGTTGAAGATTGTTAGAATAGTATCACACTTTACACTCATTCTGCTCTAATTACCCTTGGCCAATAATTACATTTTTCAATCAGGTTTATTAGCGATCTGTAGTGATTTTGGGGGTCAAGGGATAGAAACAGCACATGACGGTGGACACTGATACCAACATTCCCAGAAGTTTTGAATGCATAAAAGTCTGTTGGAGAATGCAACTACTGAAAGAACGGAGCTAAGATAGGAGACATGGGCTGCCAGAGTTACATATAATACCTTTTCTTTTGGGGTTTTTTTCCCCTACTCCAGAAAGCACAAATCTTCAATTGCAGTGGGGCTTTCCCCCCACACCGCAAGGGTTATATGTTCACTTACTAGTTTTCTTACTTGTTCTCGTGGGCTACAAAAAGCATTTTTTTTCCCCAATTCTCCACTCCCCTGGCAGATGGCATTCCCCTATGTTCCATCAATAGACTGTTTCTTAGCACCCTTGGGTCCAATGTAAGGTAATATAGGTCCTGCATCGGGGTTTGTGGATGATGTTGGAGGGCATCCAACCACCGGAGCACAGGGAAGAAGGGGCTGTGGGGACCAGTCTTACAGAGTAGGTAAGAGAAACTGTCTGACTTGCAGTCAGGCAGACCTACCTCTTCCACATACAATGCTGGTGTAAAAAATAATATATATATTATGATGACGAAGAGGGACAGGGCACAGCTCAGAACAGATGAGAGAAGAATGAGGGTTGTAAATTAAGTAATACATCCTCCTCATCTGCCCTTAGACCTAATAAGTATGTTGAAGTTTCCCCATCCTAGAGATGGGCTTTATATATTTTAGTTCATATTAATATAAAATGTACTGTTCATTCCACTGGCAAATGCATCATATGTGCATTTAAAGAATATTTTCTTAAAGTGAACCTGATCTGGCTTTAAAAAATGGTCCAAGGTAAAAATCAGTACTGAAGGGCAATTACCAGTGTCAGCCTTCAGATCCACTGGATGCAAGGCAAAGGCTTTACAAAAGACTCTAAAGGGATAGTTCACCTTTACCAAAAAGCTGCCTATGCAGATAAGGGGTGTCTGTAGATAAAAACAAACTGTGCAGCTCTGACTAAAGTTGAATAATGCCCTTGGTAAAGCTGTAGGGCATCTCTACATCTACATACCTCCTGAAGCCTCACTGGATAACTCCCAGGGAGTTGCTAGGTGAGGACTAGTCATTACTGTTCACCTCCACCATTCACAGGAGTGACCTCTCAGATGCTAAGCTCAGAGCTACTACATCAGGGGAGAGAAAGAGTATGTGAAGGGCTTTGATTCAGAAAAAGAGCTCACTCCTGTGATGGTGGAGGTGAGCAGTCATGACTAGGCCTAACTTAGCAACGTCCTGGGAGTATTCCAGTCATGCTTCATGAGGTACATAAATGGCCTACACCTACAGCAAGGGTATTATTCAACTTTAGTCAGAGACAGTTTGTTATCCACAGACACACCACTTATCTGCACAGGTAGGTTTCTGCTAAAGGTGAACACTTTAAATTTCTTTCTAAATTGAGATTAGATCACCAGAATTGCCAGCACTAAGATAACCCCCTTGTTATTCATCTGTCAAATACCTGGCACTTCATGCACAAGTGAGGCTCTGGGATTTGACACCAAAATGGCTTAGCACTGTGAGAGGAAGGGGCTTAATCTCATCCTGAAGAGAAGTCAGAACTCATGCAAAGCCTGGATCTCGGGTCCAAGTGGCTCCACAGAGATAGATTTGAAGACTAACAGGTACTTGCAGGCACTTTACACTATTCTTCAGGACGGTTGTTGCCTTAGGAAAGTTTGTGGCCAGGCAAAGTTTCAACAGAAAAGCAGTAATTTAAAGAAATCCTATTACAGAATGCAGAATTATGTAATCTTATTACATGCTACAGAATTTGTAAAGCCAGGATGCACAGATTTGTTGTGTTTTTATACACAAGTGCGAAAATGTGAAATAAGCTGTCGACTCAATGTGTGCTATCATATTCCTTGTATAAATCCCATAATTAATTTACACAGCTAAAACAGATTTCCTATGTGCTTTGCTAGTTATTGAATAAAACAAAAAATTGTTCTCATAATACGAGCAGAATTAGGAGTAAGGCCAAGTCCCATAGGGCGAGCATATCTGTAATTAAAATATTGCCAAAGGAATAAGCTGTATCTGTAATCAAGAGGCAGTGCTAGGCTTACATGTTAGCAGTATAATAGACAAGGGTTTCTACTGACAGTGTCTCTTCAGAAACAAGGGACTAATAAAATCTCTACAATGGGATTGTTTAGATCCATTCTGCAATCAGCAGATAACTTGCTATAAGACACCTACGTTTAGGTGCTGGATGGCCAGTTCTGAATATTCTCACAATATGATCTAAAAATGCAAGATCCAGTGTGAAACTGTATACGACAATCTCTACATCAGGGGTAGAGAAACTTAAAGAGGTGGAGATCTACCTGAACAACATGGAAGTCGTCAAAGATCATGGGGCACAGTGTTGCCTCCTCACACCTGATTTAATCCTCTAATTGCCGAACTACCGTGTCACAGTCGTGTGCATTGCACGGCATTCAAGGGTTTAAACCAGATGACGAGGAGGCAACATATCACCTCCTCACCACCTGTCAAACACATTGGGATTGCTTTGCAAAGGAGCAGCAGTGCCTACTGCACCTGTGAATGAGCCCTTAGTTGTAATCAGCAGCGACACCCTACGGGTAAAGTTGAATCACGTTTTTAATCACCCCCCCCAATCCCTGTGGCAGCAGCCAACGGTGTACACATCCCGCAGAAGGAGTTACACCCCCCTGTTCCTTTAGGTGGGTGCTACCACCTGTCAACCAAGACCCATTCAAGTAAATGGGCCACTCTGCAAGTGCCCTGCAACTGCATGCTTCTGCAGGGTCCAAGGGCTTAAAGCAGGTAGTGAGAAAGTAACACACTGCTGCCTGTTTAACCCCCTGTTTTGCTGTACTGCACAAGGTTGCAGGGCAATTACAGAATGGCCTCATTCACTTGAATGGGTCATGCTTGGCAGGTGTTACACCCACCAACCATGACAGGGGGTAGGAGCAGCACTACAGAGGAGACATCAACTTATGTAGCTCTTGCTCTCCACTACAGCTCCAACTTTACAAGTAGTTCCTCTGCATTGCACTATGTTTTATACTCTGGGACGGTGTGTCAGCAAGCCCAGACCAAGATCTACCTGACACCCTCTCTACATGGTCCCAGACTGCTCTGCCTCCCAGCTGATTTAATATTGTGAAATCACAGAACAAGCATGCTTGTATTTAAAATGAGTGTAATCCTTCAGGCACAGATAATGGCAGAGACTTATTTTAAAATTAAACACCTTGAGGGCTTTGATCACACTGGGTGCCTGTTCATGCCTTTTCTAAAGTGCATGTCTGGCAGAATAAAATCATATATATGCAGCACATCTGTACATTTCTCCATGTTTTGTCTCTTTAAAGGGCTGTGAGCTCTGGCAGGATCAATAGGCATTTTTCTGTATTTGCAGCATTTATAAAAAGACAAAATCCAGGGAAATGTGCAAGTACTACATAACCATTTTTTTTTATTTTGTCTGGACTCTAATGTAAGGAAAAATCAATTGGAGTG